CACACACACACACACACACACACACACACACACACACACACACACACACGTTTATTTAGGAAAGCTGGACTGGTTGGAGTGGAAGGAGGAGGTAGTGATGGTGGTGTGTGGTTATAAATGCTTCAAATCAAGGATTCCTACTTCAGTTCTTATTTTCTACAGCTCCCCCCTTCCCCCCAATCCTCCTTCACTTCATCCCCCCTTCCCACACTGTTACCATGGAAACTAGAGGGAATTGCTGAGAGATAGATGTGGATAGCGTGGGTGGTGATAGTGGCAGTGGTGGTGGTGGTGGGGCAAATATAAGAGAGAGTTATGCAATTGTATATGTATATGGAAGAGCTGGGAAAACTGAGAGGCAGCAGCTAAAAGAAAAGGGGGGCAGAAGATAAAAAGGGATGAGGAGGAGCAGAGAGGAGAGGATGACGACGATGACGATGACTTACAAGTCAAACAGGAGGTAGTGGAAGCCCTCCTCTGATATACTGTCATGAAGACGAACTGCGAGAGAAAAAAAAAAGAGAGATTGAGAGAGATAAAGTGATTCCTGGGCTCTGTGTAGCTGGAGCATTCAAGCTATGATGGTTATTCAAAGAGTTTCTGAAAAACACTGGGGATGGCTGCTGCATTTTAAGTTTTTGGTTGTTTTTTTTTAAAAAAGGAAAAAGGTGAGATAAAGAGATAGTGAGAGTGCGCGTGGGGTAGAAACCACAGGGAGTCGAAATAATTGAGTCTTACATCATATGTGTTTACAATAGGGTAGGAGCTTCTGGCAATACAGGGTTCGGTTTAAACAACAAATGAATAAAACTATATACTTCTATTGGATCTTTTAATAAAAAATGTTAAGTGTGTGTTTTGGCAAAAAAAAAGAAATTGTTCTGTATCAGGAATAAAAGACTGTTAATCAAATCTAAACTGGTCTTTACTTTTAAATGGATTCAAACTCATTTAAATTAATTATTTTCAGTGGGTTGAAAATAAGAAAAGCATGTCCTCACCGATGTTGGGGTGTTTCAACAGACGACAAATACGAGCCTCTCGCTCCAGCTTCTGGTGATCTGAGGCGCAACAAAAGAGAGAGAGGTATGTCAGAGTTATTGTTAAACTTGGGTTATAAATATGTTATATCTATATTGTAGAAGGCTTTTTAGGACGATAAAGTCAAATGTGTCAAAAACAGTTTAGAAAATGGTTTCATGTCACAAAGGACGAAGAGAATGCAAAGGAACCCAGTGGGTGTAAAATATGGAAAAAGTGAAACATAATAAGGCGTGTTGTTCTTCCAAGTTTTAAACTAAGAAGGCTCAAGGTGGATTCCAGTGCTACATACGATAATTTAAAAAACAAACAAACACATTCTTGTTTTACTCCATAGTTTAATGGGTGATCTTCACTAAGGCCCACAAGATTCAGCAAGTTTCTGTATTGGTGACTGACAACATAACTTATCTAGTCAGAGCAGCATTTCCTTAAACATAAAGCTGCACTAAAAATAAATAAATAAATAAATAATAATGAAGACGTAATGAAAAAAAGGTCAAAAAGATCAAATAAATATCCATCCATACAAAGCATTTTTCGTGTCCATGAATTCAAGAGTCTATGTAAAAACCGAGCATGAGTGTTTAGCAAAAATACAAGTTGTTCAAATTATAAAACACCAAACTGAATTTTTAAAGAATGTTGCTGAATTTTTGTGTGTGTGTTACATTTTTCTCCATAATGCAACATAAATTTAATATATTATGTTTAAGTGGCTTTGAACTTTGAATATTTCAGAAACTCGTGATCTACTGGGATTTTCCCACACAACCAACTCTGGGGTTTACAAAGACTGGTCCCGTAAGGAGAAAATGAGCAGCGGTTCACTAGGAGAAGATACCTTGTTACTCCCAGAATTCTTCCACCCAGAAGGAAGAGAATAGTAATTCAAATAACCACTTATTATAACCAAGATATGCAGAAGAGCATCTCTGAATGCAGGAAGGAGCAGAAGACCACACTGCCTGCCGTTCCTGTTTGCAAAGAAAACTACTTTGAGACTAAAATTTGTTGCCTGGTGTGTCTGTGCAACATTTGGTGCAAACAACATGAAACAGTGGTTCCACAGTGGATGTGTTATATCAATAAAGCAATGATGTGGGAATTATTTTATAGGGATATTTTCTGAGCTTCAGTACTAGCTGAGCAGCATTTTGACACCAGCGCATACCAACTACTGCTGCTGACCGTGTTTATTCTTTTATGACCGCTATCTACACATCTTCTGATGGCTACTTTAAGGATAAGATACAGTGTCACAAAGCTGAAATCATGTCTGGTGGTTTCCTTCACCTGAACTGAATCAATCCAATAGTGCATCTTTGGGTTGTGGTGGAACCAGGGGCGTAATTTCCAGGGGGGTTAGAGGGTTATGACCCCCCCCAATAATCAGACCCAACCAATATAACCCCCCCAATAAAATTGTGAATGATCTTGCATAAATAGGCTCTTGATTTTCTTTACTCTTTTCAGGTATTACCAGCAAAATAGTTGCATGTTTAATCATCTGGGAATTTACCCAGATGTATTTATTTATTTAGACAGAGATCTTGACCCCTCCTATGTTCAGTACAAAGTTACGTCGATGGGTGGAACAGCACAGTTCAATCGTGGATGCTCAGATGAAAATATCTGCTGGAAATGTGTGATGCTGACATGTCAACACAGACCAAAATCTCTGACTCTAAGCCAGTTCTGAAGAGAAAAGAGGATCATAGCAAGGTGCAACTAACGAAGTGATCGGTGGGTGTAATTTACTGTGAGTGGAAGTACAAATATATGAGCATATATACTTCAAGACACACTATGTATGTATGCAGCTAAAATATTTACATCTGCATGTCCCTTTACATAACAGATTACTGATGCTAGCCAACATGCATTACAGGGTTATCGTGCAAGTCACAGCAGGCATATAAAGCACACACACATACAGACACACGTACACACAGGGGGTGGATCACCGGATCCACAAAGCGTGACTGTCAGCACAAACGTACATATGCATAGGTTGCACCCACACGCGTACAATCTGTACGAGTTTAAGAGAACACAGACTGGCAAAACTCAAGTGCACACATTCACACTGGCACTGTGGAGTGACAGTGAAGTGTAAGCGTGGTGATTATAGTCTCAGAAGATGAGAGGAGTGAGGCGGAGAAAGGAGTGGAGGAGTGTTGAAGGGGGACAGGAGAGGAGGAGGAAAAAGGAAGGAGAGAAAAAAAAATACAAGGACGTTTAATATGCACAAAGCCTGGTTGCTGTCTTTTTGTTGAAACAATAAGACACCGCTAATCACTGCCTGCTACTTTTTTTTTTCTTTTTAACTCTAGTCATTTATTCTTCACATTTGGTTTTTGTTTGAGGCTATGAACTCACTGAATATTTTTTCCCCATTTATTTGTTTGTCCATGTGTAACAAACTGCATTTTAATGGGACTGAATTTCATCTTTTCAAAACATGGATTCACATCTGACCTACTCAGAAACACACCGATTACAATGTTTGTGATTTACTGGGAGAGACCTATTGCAAATTAGCACTTTAAATAAGGCTATCATTCCTGCGCGATCGTGCAAGCTTTCACTCCAGTTGAACTGTATCTGACTGACTCTTAAAAACTACCAACTCTCAGCTTGTGTTTAGCACTCCCAGATGTTATCTGTCATACTAATGTCAAGTGTTGGAAAACTTGTCATGGGCACTCGCATCACATTTCATTCTATCAGTGGCATCTGCTAATATTACTCTGCAAGTACAGAATTGGCTCACAGTAGCTGCTGTGGTGCATCATCTATCGTCTACCATCTGTGCCTTTGTTATCAATCCATCATCTACGTGGGACAGTTTTATTATTAATATTGTGATATCAAGTATTGAAAGATCTATTGAAATATAACACATATGTCATTACTGGGCTTTTTTTCTTGCCTTGTTTCTGCTTAAAACTCATTTGGCATTGTGAGGTTAGGTAATTAAAAAAGAAACTCATCATATGATTTACAGATGGAGGATAACTGAGGATGAGATACACGACCTCCCCTGAAATGAACATGGTCTTTTATCAGGTCTTTTATCAGAGCTTTATCAGACCGGCAGATAACACTACAGCAAAAAATTGTGTATGACAGATGACCTTCCCATGGCAGAACACTCATAACAGATGCTCTTCTCAACTGCCCTGCATAAAAGAGGACACAACTGATAACTGTCTATACAGTCTGCAGTGTGTGTGATAACCTTGTGGTGTGTGTGTCTGTGTGTGTGTGTGTATGTGTACCAAAGAAGAAGTCAGCTATCAGGTTCAACTGTACGACAGTATTTTTAGTACTGCATATGAGGGGTCAGCGTAGTTTAACAAGAACTATGGAGATTAATGTAATTTTATTTACGTATTGCATGTAGTGTATCAGAATAAAACGGATATGTAACTGACAGTTAAAAACCCGGTTTATAAAAGGTACCTTCTCTCATGTATAAACGGTGGGAGATTTGCCAGAGCTACTGCAACACTAAACATTTACTTAAATAGATTTACTGTAAGGCCGAGAGCTCCATTTGTTTTCATAGTTGTGTTTACGTATTTAGCTAGGTAGAAACTATTCTAAGCAGGGACAGCTGATGTAGTGGCAGATCATATAAGAAGATTATCATGTGCATTTTTTGTTATCTAGTTACAATTTTAATATATTCTCACTCCTAATTTCATCTTTTGCTCAACTGCTCATTAATGCAAATGAGCCAATCACATGGCCGAAACTCAGCGCACTCAGACAAGCTTGGTGAAGAAGACCAAACCGAGCATTAAAATGGGTAAGAAAGGTGATTTAAGTGACTTTGAACATGTCATTGTTCAAATGGTGCCAGACAGACTGGTCTCATTTCAGAATCTGATGATCTTCTGGGATTTTTCCCGCAATACCACCTGTAGGGTTTCTCTGAATGCACAACAAGTTATAACAGAAGCATAAAGCCTACAGCAGCAGAAATCCACATTAGACACCACTCCTGTCTGCTAAGAATAGGACACTGATGCTACAGTTCGATTGGATGGCCAAAACTAAACAATAAAATATTGGAAAAACGTTGCCTGGCCTTCAGACTAGTCCTGCTCTATCATTTAGATAATAGGATCATAATATGGCATAAATAAGATAAAAGAACAGAACAATGCTGCCTTTTATTAACAGGCTTTAGGCTGTTGGTGATGTAAATACGTGTGGCGAGTTTTCAAAGAAAGTTAACCAAAAGGAACGGACGAAAGATTTGAGACAACTCGTTTCAGATAAAGAAACAACCAATTATAAGATAAATGAAGATTACTGTGAAATCTGAGTTGTGCATAGCTACTCCAGTAGAGTCAGAATAAAAACACGGAGCAGGACGTGAGCATAACGGCACTCATTTAAAACACCAAGAATTTTTATTCCACAGAGAAAAGAAAAAAAAAGGCCTTTTTGGCCCTCCACCTAATGTAAAATGCACTGATTTCTGTTAAGTAAGGCGCTCCAACCCCCACCCTTTCACTCCCAAAGGCCCATTTCTAGTCAGAAAAACCCTAAACACGTATCTTGAAACGTGTCCAACATTACACTTGTTTCTGGACTTTAATTAATTATTGCAGTTTACAGTTATATGCTGAAAACGTAAAAGCTGGTCCAAAATGCATTCGCTCTGGGGTTTTTTAAAAAAAAAAAAAAGTACTCTTTTGTAAAAACATGACACACAAACAAGATCAAATGAGAACTTCCTTGTGTGGTTCTCACTGTAATTACTTTACTGTCAGCAACTGCGGCCATGCTGCTCTTTTAGTGCAGGCTGCTTAAAATATTCATTTAATGAGTCTTTCAAAGTGCCGGTCAGTCAGAAGCAGCAGGGTAAATAAGAAATGAGACCAGGGAGTGGGGTAAGGAAGAAAGGCAAGGACAAGAACACATGCACAGAGTAGGATAACCCAAGGACAACATTCAGTGAAATCAGTGGGAATCTTCATGCTGAAGGAGAAGAGAGCAGAGGAGAGGAATATATTTGGGTTAATCATCACCAGTGAGGACTTAAGTCTCTAGAGAGGGAGGAGATGTAAAAAGACAGCCACAAAGACAGCCAGATATAACCACTGTTCGGAACACTTGACTCGTAACAGCGTGAGCCCTACCAGCAGGGAAATGTGGAGTGCGGATTGAAAAGTTTCCTATATCCTATAGATCCTACAGAAGCACAGCATCAAAAAGCAGCCTCTGCGTTTAAGGTGAAGCATGACAGTGGTGGTGCAGAGGGGCTGCATGTATATAGAAATCTAAGTGGATTCCTGAGAGTAATATGATTAAGAAAGCATCATTTTTCCAGTGAAACACCTGAACTTGTAATCTCATTACATGACATTACATAATTACATAATGGGTGAAATACTTCCATATAAACAGAGTGTGAATTGACAGAAAAAGTACCAACACATCTTGAATTATTTACATTTGTAATTGCAGCTACAGTGATTTAATTTCACACTCGGGTTTAAGTCTCATCACTTTAGTTGACTATATCTGCCCTGGTTATGTGACATTGACACAAAGCTCACTGGCCAAAACCAGGTCAGATCACTTCTACTGCATTGCAGGTGAACATCAACCCCCCCCCACACACACACACACAGACACACAAGCTCTACTCTATCATGATATAATTACATGGCCATACAGGAACCTCTGGCATCCACTGTCCAGAGATCATTGCCAATAAACAAGTCCTATGATTGGCTGGAAGCCTTGCCCAGCAGACCTGCCCTATATTTCCTGTTGACATGTGTTGGATTGGCATTAACCGTTTGTCGGCTGGAAAAGGGAACGGCAGGGTGGGGTGGTGGGAAGATGTAATGAGAAGCCCGACTACTACTCTATTCATAAATTTGAATGTTCAGTATGTGAACCAAGTGTTATGACTACAACAACCAACGAATTGTGACACTTTTTGGTTGTAACTAATAGTTTCTTGATAGAGTTCACTGTCCAGTTGACTGCCTGCATCACAGACACTGCTTCTCTGCTGTGGCTGTCTGAATATCTGCCCGTGTGTGTCTGAGAGAAAGAGAGGGAGAGTCAGATGAGTATCCCGTGCTAAAGGCATGTAGGCGTACAGGCGCATGGCCCTCAGCTGCCAAATGCCTGGGGTGCCTTTGCTCTGATGACCCCACCCTCCCCTCAGCTACCATCTCCATCTGCTGATCCTAAACAAATGCTCCTCTTAAGTTGGTGAAACCAGGGCTGTAAACTCACCGACCCTACCTGCTGCCTGAGAAATATTACAACATCATAAAAGGCCTAAACCAAATCCCACTTATAAAGTAGAGCAGCAAGCCATCAGGGCTGCCATAAAGCGTGAATGCAGCAGCAGCCCATGTCACAAAGGTCATGGAGCTATAAAAAGGACTTTGAGTAGAAGTAGTATGCAGCAGCTCTGTTGGCTCTAGCATAGCCCTGCTATTTCACAGAACATGGCTCATCCATTAGTAAGGAGCGCAGCACGGGCCTCGCGCACCGCTCAGTCAGGTCAGATCAGTCGCCCTATCAAATGTTGAAGCAGAGAGATTACACTGTGCCTCCGAAAAATGGTGGAAAGCAGCTGCACTGCCCGATAAAGCAGCTGGAGTGAAATTATGCAGAAGTCCAATGATAGCATAATCTATAGGAAGTGTATTTATACTCTGTGTGTCTGTGTATGTGTAACTTTAAGTCTCATTAAACCAATCTCTAGAATTAACTGCTAGCCTCTTGCAGTTAATAGAGGCCGGATAATCTAGGATGGGTTTAATCTCATTAAATGCTGCACAATGCAATAAAATGCAGGCAAAAAATGAGATACAATTACTGTCAAGAATAATGTGACACCACAATTAGAACAATGTTTGTTGCAGTCGACTTCTTCTATTTTTTATAGAAACTTAAATTTTTATAAAAAGCTTGTCTGCTAAGTTTAATATTAGATTATATTTTCGTTACGGCTTAGTAAGAAAGATAAATACAGACGCTCAGATCATATACCCTCTACCACCCTCGTAATGTTTGAAGTCAGAAACACATTTGTAATTTCACTGCACAAAATGTTATGAGTTATGAGTGACAGTAGCAATGCTCATTTGTGTCTGATGCCTGCTGGAGCTGGAAATAGTATGCTGAAATACAATGCTAAAAGTGCATCACAACATCATCTCATTTATTTATTACACTGCACTGTTTCCAAGTGTCTGCCTAGTAAAGGAGATGGACACACATGAGTTTAACCTGACTATATAAACATTCAAGTCTAATATTTTCAAACATTATTATTGAATTTTATACCCAGGAGCCTGACCTTTAAGAAGCTCACATAATCGTGAACACACAAAGCATAATTTTTTTTAAATTGTCTGCATACGGCACTGATACTTTAACAATGGTTTGGTAAGAAAATTAATATCTACAAACTGACAAGCCGAACTGAGGGTAACATTTGGGAGAGAAGGCAGATAAGGACAGACATTTCAGGATCAAGCCCTCTGCTTCATGCCTGTTAAAATGCCTTTTCTACCACACTCAACATTTTAACACACAATCCGTTGGTGAGCGTATGTCAAGGCAGGGTAACAGTCAAGTGACAGTGTGGTGCCACCTGGCAGGGCCACGGCAGTGGTTCTCCAGTTACGAGGCTGCAAGGGCAGCAGGAGATTTACACTGGGCAAGTGGTGGTGTAAATTGCCACGGCGACCACAGTGGTGCTCGACTGGCTTTGGTGGCAAAGGCATTTAGCCTTGGCTTTGGCTTAAGTCATTACTGGCTGAGTAGCATGTGACACTAATTACGGTGGTTACAGAGTCTATGTTATTCAGAAGAAACAAAATCCCAATATATAGAAAAACCTTTTCACTTTACATTATTATACAAGCCAGTATTTGAAGACTGACTGATTTATTGATACGCCCATATTATCCTGCAACACATGCAGCAGAATATGAATTGCAGCTAAACAACTAAACAAGATGGTTTCAAGATAAGTAGTGTGTATAGGGTTGGTTATCAGTGATGCCTGCTCTGTTCTGCTGTGCTGAGTTTTACTTCTCTTCTGCCCGCCTTTGCTTTTCACATTTGCATGTATGCATGTAGAGGGCAGGAAGATCCCAGAATAGCGCATACAGCTAAATAGAAATTACTGCAGCTGAAAATAGCTTCGACTTTAATGGTCCTGACTGATTTACGTTGAACTCTTTGGACTTGATTTAAAGATAATTACTGCTACGATCTTTCCTGCAGTCGTATATAGGGCACGCGAACAATACCCTACAATTTGTTCTCCAGGGGTTCCTCAACACAACTCAGAAACAGGGTAGTGTAAAAGGTGAACCAGTGTTGAGCAAACCTACTGTATGACTGTCACATCACCATACTAGTGCTGTTTCTACTGCTGCTAGGGCTTTTCCAGCTTCCTCCATTTCTTATAAACAGACATGATTTATAAGAAATTAAAAGTTTGTCCTATGAAGTGGCATCTGAGAAGGAAACCAAATTTTGCTGCTACATTTTGCTTATATAACTGTCTACACTACAGGTGGGGGTGGTGACCACTGGGACAGAGAAGCTATGAACAACTTAGTCATTTTTGAATGGTTGCAAATTGTACTTTTAGCTCATGAATTAACAGTTAAATATAGCAACAGTGGTGTTGTTTGAGATCACACTTTGGCTCCCATGGAAGCTGTGATTCAATCGAACTGGATGCATATGTGATATAACACTGAAATAAGTTGTGCTTACCTCTTGCAGATAACTTTTTGGTGTTGATTATTTTAGCAGCATACTCCTGTCCTGTGCACAGCTTAACACATCTGCGCACCACTGAAAATGCTCCCCTGGAAAACACAGAAAAAAACCCCATTGACTAACATTTCATGCATGGTTATCATAGGACAACTCTATCAGGAAAAAATAACTAACAGCTGAAACAACACTTCATTTCTTTATCATAAATTAACAAGTTGGGACCATTGTTCTCATGCAAATTCTTGAGTGGTTATGGACCTTGGATAATAATGAGCATGGTGAAGGTTTTGCTGAGTGAACAAATTTGCACACAACTTTGCAGAATGAGCATTTTTCAGACTCAGAACATAACAGAACTGATAACACTTTTCATGTTCACTGTGGATACATTAAACACTTTGCTGCTTAGTTAATAAGATCCCATGAGATCTCCAGTCAGGATACAAGTAATGCGAACACATGTGGGATGTCGAAAGGTAAATTGGTATAATGTAAGAGCTAAACTGGGCTCTCAAACACATTAGATGTAGAGTCACACAGCCCATATTATCAGCCAACACTAGCCCATCACGGATATATCGATATCAATATTATGTTGTTTGATATGTGTGAATATGATTTTCTTTTTGTCAGGACATAAAGCTTAGAATTTGTTTCACTTACAACTGTGTTTGTACCTGGAACCCATAGAGACCTGCTGGTGTAGTTTGTGTTCTTATTCCTGCGTTATACGTTTTATTTCTTTGTTTTGTAATTTACCAAATGTTTTCAGTGGGTGACAGGTCTGGACTATGGGCAGGTCTCCTATTGTGACATTTAAGCATGATGTCTTTGCACCTTATGTTTTGTACCTTCAAATACTGTCGGTCTTACTTTAATCCAAAATAAATAAATAAATAGCAAAAAGTAAATAAGCAGAATATTCCCCTCAAAACTAATGATAATACATTTTAAAAATGAGAGAGAGCGAAAAAGAGAACGACCATCTGTAGGACAGCATATGTCGCCCCAATACCTGAATGTTTTTCACTGCGCCGTCACAGATGTTTAGAATTTGTTTTTTTCCCTTTAGATCCACCAGTATATATAAAAATATAAACATTAATTTCAATAAACGCTCAACCAAAAACAAATGTTTGAATATACTTATACAAACCAAGGCTGGACAAGACTACACAGTCCTGTCCAGCCTTGGTTTTGATTTAGTTGGGTGTGAAACAGTCTGATGTTGAATGGTGCCACTAGTCTGCCTTCACACTGGGATAGTTGCAGACAGCCAACAAGGTCAGTGCCAAAGGTGAAGGCCAGCTGACCTGACACTGGGGGAAACTTCTATATAAAAAGGCACAAACTCTAGAATACAAAGGGCATTTCATCACTTTTTCAACAACAAGCTGAAGTGCATTTAATGCCCCAACGTCAAGGTCATTACTGTCAATCAGAATTCTGATAAGGAATCAACTCGCCTGAAGCAAAAAACTCACTAGTCACACACACAAACAAACACATATGCTACTGACACCAAACTCCACAGCTGTGCTTGGAAAGTTCATACTCCATGAGGTAAGTATCTAACGTCTGGACTAAATATGCTTTAACACACATAGAGGGTTAAATGGGGTAACAGGTCATGAATCACGACTGTGGTCTGACATCCAGAAAGTTGACATGGAGAGATTTAAACATGCCTAAAACTATTTTTGAGGGAAAAACACTGGTGCCTGCAGAAGTGAAGGGTTTTGTAACTGGAGAAGTCTGAGCTTCTGGTATGCTGTTACAGTCTCCCTCTGATGTGGAAGAATTAAATACTGTGTGATGTGTAAATCTATACTCTTAGGTTTCAAGCCTAACTGAGACAAACAACAAAAAATGTGTTTCAAAAGTCTTTCAAAAGCCTTTGTGCTGTTACAGACTTCTTTTTAGCAGCTGTGCAGCAGAAGGACAAACACAAGCTACACTCAAGCCTCTGCGATTGTTCACGTTATTGTTCTTCAAGCTGTTTAGCTTGTTATCGGTGTTCTAATTGAGATCAATTCGACCAATTTAAGCAATGATGTGCATTACTTCTGTGCAAGAACAAACACAGAAGCATTATCTAACCAGGAGCCAGTGTTCAGCACACCTCAATCGGTGCTGTGGTGTTTCTATTAAAACAAGCCTGGCAATATTTGTAACAAACGGGCTAAGCACACTAAAGCAAAAGGAGCGAGCTTAAATGTCACAAGTCCTGCTAAGAAAGTGACACCAGCAGAGAGCGAGCACACAATCATTAGCTCTCCTCAGATGTTGGATTAGTATTACAAAGTTCCAGAGAGTGTTACCGTAAGGATGCCAAGCCTCTCACACCTGCACTCCTTCCTCCAAGCTTTATGTGCCTGGGTGAATAATAAGATGGGCCTACAGAAAAAGCTTTTTGCAGCTTAGTCCCTCATGCACCCAGAGCTTCAAAGCTGGTAGTTTCTGGTAGAAGTTGAGATTTATCTCAACACAGAAAAGCCAATGCATTTGATAAGTTACAGTCTTTATAATGTCTTTTTTTCCCCAAATCAACAGCCGGCACCATAGAATGAAATCTCATAGGGTTCAGGAGGCATTGGAGCTACGCTGGCATAATGATCCCTGCGAACAGTATTTATTACTTATGGGATGAAAAGAGAATGGGAGGGATGCAGTGTTGTAAATTAGTCTGAGCCCCGTGTCTTCTACAGCAGTCAGTCACATAGATGATGACTCTGTCTATTTATGCTTGCTCAATAACAATAACCCACCAAGGAAACAGGACTTGAGTATATACACTCCCCTCCTGTAAGTGAAGACTCTGAAGAATTCATAGATTGCACTTCACTATGGATGGCAGCCGTGGCTAGATTAGCTTCACAGCAGTTGCAGTGCATGAAATTGAAATGGCGACCTAGATTCATGACTTAAAAATATTCATATAAACTAATCACTAATTTACCTCTCTGCTACAAGTCCCTGCATTAAGTGTGCTTTGTAAAACCCATCATCACCACGATATGGTTAAACACCAGATATGCTTTTTATCTAACTTTCTGTTTCTCATTATCAATCACAGATAAAACTGGCTAAAAAAGATGGCAGTTAAGTTAGCAAGGAGTGAATGTAAATATTCAAAATCAAAGGCTTCTAGTGACACATCTTTTCAGTTCCTTTTATTAATCCTTCAATGAATCTTGACTTTTTCTTGACATATTTGCATATTAGGTGCGTATTTTACCAGTCTTTGAAGAGAGATATCAAATGAGCTGTCACAAACACCTGTTAACACTCCAAATGTACAAAATAGTACTATGCCGTCATGTTTAAAAAGTCTCTCCGTACCTATGAATAATCCTGCTATCTTTCCACAGGCCTGTAAATAATATAAATCTAGGACAACACTTAATAGATTAAAAGAATACTTTAACATGGCTCGTTTTCCCATTGTTTTTAAATAGATTAAAGATTCAAGCCAACAAAGTCCAAGAAAAACACGATTTCCATGTTTATACATCATCATGCAACAGCTAATAAAACTTAAAGAAAAATATCTTTCATTATATAATCTTTGGAACACGGAGGTGGATTACATTAGAGCAGGGACGTCAAACTCATTTTACATCGAGGGCCACATACAGCCCACTTTGATCGTAAGTGGGCCAGACCAGTGAAACTCCCCTTTCTCTCTGTGTAAAGAAGATTAACTAAACATTTATTCACTGAGAGATCTTAACATAAGAAAACGAAGTGCAATTTCAACAGCACATCTCAATTTTTCAACATCATAAAGAAATGCTGCTGTAGTAAATTAAATAAATCTGTCAGCACCACTTAAATGAAAGAAATGCAGTTTTGTTTTGTTTTTTTAACTGTGGATCTATTGTAAAAAAAAAAAAAAATTTAAGTCTTTGTCCGACCAATTCTGGTCCCCAGGCCTTATGTTTGACAGCCCTGCACTAGGGTCTTTTCCAGTGTTCCTCAATGACAGCATAGTTCAGTCTCTATTCTGTCAGAGCCACAAAGCTAACACAACATTAACTTCACTTCACTCCAGATAACTTGGCTGTTTCTGTGTTCTCATTGAAGTTGTCATCACTGTGGTGGCTGAATAAACAGCATTAGGCAAATCAAGCTAGCAGTACATAACGAGTGATATGAATGATAATCAAATAATGCCAGTACAAGATGCATGACGGGCTGCAGCAACAAAGTAAACAATACACAGAAGGATGATTTGAAATTGTCCCCTTTACTCCTTTGCCCCGTGCCAAGTGTAGATCACCTACTGTAATGAAATCACCAAAAGTTTTGTTTGCCTCTATATTAATTTTTTTTATCTCTCATAATCATCGTGATCAAATTGTGATTATTTCAAATGAGTACTGATTAACCAAATTGAATCCCTTCAGCCTTCAGAACTGCCTTAATTCTTGGTGGCATAGATTAGACAAGGTGGTGGAAACAGTCCTCAGAGATTTTGGTCACGGTGGCATCACAGGTGGACATCAATGATGCAAATCCCCCGCTCCACCACATCCCAATGGAGCTATCTTGGATTCTGATCTGGTGGCTGTGGAGGCCATTTGACCACACTCAGCTCATCGTCACATTCAAGAAAGCAGTTTGAAATTATCTGAGCTGCACTGACATGATGCACCATCCTGCTGGAAGCAGCTGTCAGAAGATGGGTACACTGTGGTCCCAGAGTGGTGGAAGTGGTCAGCAACAATACTCAGATAGCCTGTGGCATTTAAAGGATGCTCAGATGGTACTAAGGTGCCCAGAGTATGCCAAGAAAATATGCCCCTGCTCCATTACACAATTACTGAACTGTTAATATGAGTCGGGATGGATCCATGCTTCCATGTTGTTTACACCAAATTCTAAACCTAACGTCTGAATGTTCCAAGAGAAACTGAGACTCATCAGACCAGCCAGAAGTTTTCCAGTCAGTTGTGAACTGTAGCCTCAGTTTCCTCTTCTTAGCTGGTTAGACTGGAACTCTGTGTCTGCCCATCTACTTCGAGTCCAACATGTTGTGCGTTCCAAGGTTCAGAGGTTGTAACAAGCGGTCATTTGAGTTGCTGTAGCCTTTCTGTCAACTCAAAGGCACTTGTTCATTCTCTTCTGCCCTCAGGCATTAACAAAGCATTTTCATCCAGAGGAATCCCGTTCACTAGATATTTTCTCTTATTCGGACCATCTTCTGTAAACCCTAGAGGTGACTTTGCCCAGTTTCAACTTCAAGCGTAATTCAAGTAGCTGCCATGTGATTGGCTGATTAAACATTTGGGTTAACAAGCTGGTGAACAAGTGTACCTAACAAAGTGGCTGGTGTGTAGAATTCCAATTAAATACGAAAATATAACAACATTTATACATAACAACTAAACTAAACATGCTTCTGGGAAGAAGCAACAGCCACTGCTGGACAGGAAAGTGTGTGTTGGGTCATTAAATAACTAGAAAATGAGAGCATCGATGCAAAACAACTAATTTGTATTTTTTTTAAAAATCACGAATAATTTGTTTTTTATAATTACGGGACACCACAACCATAACTTAAAATAATATTTAATGAACTGCCCAGCCCTTTTAAGGGCTACACACTACACACCGTGTGTCATGTTCAAAGATTAGGTTCAGACATATTACATACCTATTCCCTTCCCTCCATCTGTTATTATACACAGAAGTATTTAGTTACACAAATAATGAAACAATACGAGTTCAGTTTCCGTATTTAGTACTTTTAATTCCCTATGGTATCAAAACTTTCCACAACAACAATAGTACCTAGAATATATTTTGCATATGCACTGCCATATGATTGTTTTTTCCTACAGTATGATAACGTATGATTCCTATGGTTTTGACAGATCGGCTTTTATCGGATGGATTTTTTTTTCTTGCTGCTGCACTGCAGAATATCTTATCTGGTGTAATCTGCCACCATAGTGCTGCAAAAAAATGTCTTCTAGGGAAAAAAGGCTGTTTGTTCATATAAAGGTTAGTAAAGCACACACACTTCAAACCAATGCAATAAAACAGGACAAAATGGTCAATCGAGATGCAGCCTTAAAGGATTTTTTGATCGGATATTTATTGCATAGCTTTGCAGAAGACAGGAATTTGATATTTGGTCATACCCGCAACTGTCATATGTGAAACCCTTAGTTTTTCTCTGTAAACTTTGACTCTTCGTCTTCAAAAAAGAAAAAAAAAGCGTGCAACTGCCTTTCCATAAACCGCAGATGTCTTCTTTTCATCTGTGGTTCAAATCGTTACACCACAGGACTCTGCTGACACCCCACCGTTTCTCCGTGTTTCACCGTGAAACGAGCGAACTCGTCAAAAACATTGCAACGTTTTTGCAAATATTGTTGCCTCTGACGTCCGTTTCTCGTGATGATCAGGAAACAAACAAAACACTTGGTGAGCTTAAACAGAGGCGTGTGGGGGGTGTACTTTGAGAGCTGTCATCCCCGAAAAGGCGCACACACACGCGCACCATCAGAGCGCGCACACGCTCAACACTGCTGGCCTGCAGACTCGCTCAGCTCTGCACTGCCTGGAAACCTGCCCTCCTCCTACATTTCAACTACACTACACTTTCTAGCAGACAGCTGTACCGCAAACATGCACAACTAAAATAATAAATACGTCAATTTTGACAGAGAAACAGCGACAGATACTCACTTCCCCAGCTCCTCGTACAGCTGATATTCATCTGTGAATCGCGTACAGGTTGTCGTGGCCATGTCTCTCCCCTGTCTCTCGCTTCTTCTTGTTAATGAACTCCGAAGATTCGCGGTTAGTTCGGGCTGAATGTGCGTAAAAAAAGTGCAGGTCCGCCCAACAGCGAGACGGCCGGTGGAGCGGAGAAGTGCCTTTTAGGAGGCGCCGAGTGACGGAGGTTTGATATAAAGAGCCGAGGAAGCCTGGGTGGGTGTTCACTCTATCTCTCTTTCTCTCTCCCTCCCTCTCTCTGCACTATCTGACAGCTACCGCGCTCTGCGCTCCTATAAACAAGCCAGTTGAGCTACGACAAGCCACTTCCTTTTGCGATTTTCACAATAAAAGCTTTGACATTGTCTACGTTCAAAAAGAAAAAGTTGCAACCTTTGGTTTTCTATTCAACGGCCATTTATTTAGCCTAAGCACTGCCTTAGCATTTTTCCCCTGACCAGCCAACTAAGTGCATAAAGTTGGTTTTATATACATTTTTTAATAAACAAGATGCCAGTTCATGCAATGGTAAGAACAAACTGACTGGAGTATTTGCATGAGTTAAATGATATTATACTCAGCTATACTTCTATTAAAAATTATTTGAGAAAGAATATTTCCAGGATTCAATTCAGTTCAATTCAGTTTTATTTATACAGCGCCAAATCACAACAACAATAGCCTCAAGGAGCTTTATATTGTAAGGTAGACCCTACAATAATACATAGAGAGAAAAACCCAACAATCATATGACCTCCTGTGAGCAAGCACTTTGGCTACAGTGTCAGAGTGTTTTGTTTTGGGGTTTTTTTTGTCTCTGCTGCTGTTTGGAAGCAGTCTGGCAGAGATTTCAAATGTCCCATATTTGGGCACCAGTTTAGCTCACTGGTTGAGCAGGTACTCATATGTCCTCTAAAACTAGGTTGAAGTTTGACCCCAGTTCTTTGCTGTGTCTCTTCCCCTGCACTCTGTTCCCTGTCTAGTCTTCACTGCTAACCTGTCTATAAAGGGAAAAAATGCTCTACTGCTACTTCCTGTGTCCCTTCACCCTCAGAGGAGAACATTACATTTGGGTTTTCTGCACCTTATTTACCTCATCATTCTGCTCTGCATAGACCTGTTGCATCCCATGCATCCCAAACAGGACCATAGGGCTCAGGTGGTTATGTCACCAGTACCACAGAAACAATTAAATTGTTTATGTTAATGCTGTTCATAATATTATTTATGAAGACCCTAAAATACTATAGTTCTTCCTGGTGTGCAGGAAGAACTCCCTTTTAACAGGAAGACTCCTTCGGATGGACTGAAGAGTCAGGAAGGGGTATCGTTTTGTGGTTGTGTCTGTTTGAGTAGGTATTTTTCCAACATACTCCCATGCAGTTCTCTGAAAACACAACAGTGTGTAGTGCTGTTTGTAGTCTGAATACTTATTTGTTGAAAGGTGGAACCAGAGCAGGGAGAGGAATCAGGCTTTCCCCCATTCCAGAGTCCTCCGTGATTGGAAGAAACATGAAAAAACATCAAAGATAGACAAAAAAAAAAATACAGTAATCCATTGTTTTAACAATCAGTTTCTGTGGCTGATGGACCAACAACAGAACAAGAGAGACAGCAAGACCAGTTGTACCATATACTTTGGACACAGCCTCCATCTGGCAACAAATGCTCTCTGCAGGCGATCAAACTATCCTCAGCTGCCTGTCAATATAATGCCAACAGAGAACCGTGTTCAGCACCCATATATGTAACCAGCTGAGGGCTAGGGGAAAAAGAATATAAAGTAGAATAGCAAAGAGACAGGAAAGAAAAATTAAAGGATGTTTTACACTAACCTGGTTCACCTCTAATAAGCTTATATAGAAAAAAAAAGGTCTAATCTTAAAAGTAGAGAGGGTCTGTCTTTTTCCCGAGCCCAAACTGGGAGCAGGATCCAGAGGAGAGGTGAAGGCTCTGTCTTCTGTTCTATTTTTGGAAACTCTAGGAGCCACATGTAAGTCTGCAGTGCAAGAGCAAAGAGCACTGTTAGGATAAATTGGCACGATGTGAAAAGAAGGATTTAAAAGGGAGAAAATGAAGAGAAGCTAAAATGGGAGAACCATGACTTCTCTTTCCAGTGTTTGTTAGCACTCTTTCAGCAGCATTTTCAATCAGCTAAAAGCTTTTTAGAAGTTAACATATTTTTTGATTCCTACACATTTTCCAAGCTGATGATTCCTATTGGTATATTACCACAAGTGGAAGATTCCAGTCGGTGGAAAAGCACAAATGGAAAATATCACTAGCAAACAGCCTTTGTTTCCATGAAATGGATTGTATGCTGAAATTAATTTTTTTTCACGTTATTTTACAGTCTTATGAGAATAAAAGCATTTTAGCTATTTGAAAAAGAAGAGTGCCCAGAGTTATTTTGTTTTTAAACATTGCTACTGACTATTGACTGGTTCACCTAAAATATTAAAGCTCACCCGAAAAGTGGGATAAGCCTGGCTAAGGGCTAGGCTATGTAACCACATGGATCCTTTTCCAGCAGGAAGAACTGATCAGAAATTCATTACTTACAAAAAATAATTTTGAAGCTTTTTGAAAAAACGTGCATTATAGTGAGAAAATAAGAGAAAATAAACCACTCCTCTCACCATCGCTTTGGTCATGCCACCACATCAGGACTATTTTT